TCAATGTATGGGTAGCTTCCATGACTCTCGAGTTCTAATTTCCCACTTATTGGATGTTTTGGCTAGATCGTATCTCTCAATTTGTTCTTATCTTCTTTATAGGGTTTGTATTCTTCTTGCTGGCTGTCTTGATTCCGTCCAGTGCGAGTAGATATTCCCGTTCTCATTATCTTTTTCATTAATTTAGTGACCCCTCCCTCCAGACATGGATTATGTTCCAATTAGTGAACGAGAATCCTCAATCCAGCTGTTTCTTTCTGTTTTTAGTCCTTAGCTATAACCTTAGCCCCTTTATCTTGAAGATTTTTGACCTGTCCATTTTTCTGACCATCATTTCCATTCCTGTTGCTGCTATGTACATACAGGTTCAGTTGTGTCCATTTTCTTGGAGTGGAGCCAGCCCTCAACTCGCTCTCTTTGCAGAAGCACCCCTTGGACATGATAGGTAATCCTTTGCTTGGATATATGGTTAGTATTGTACATTGCTTGCATATATGGTTAGTAGTGTGGCTACATGGATCTCTTTTACTTCCACTGCTGTCGAAAAATAATCCACAAAAACTATCCTCTGTCTTTATATTGCAACAATATTAAAAAGCAAAACATGAATCTCTATCCTCAATCGGTTTTACATCCTGTGCATGGAACTATCCTAAGATTATCTAAGTTAATATTTATCTCTCAAGAAAGAATGAATCTCTATCCTCTGACTTTACATGTTCAAAGAAGTAGAAACATACTATATAAGTTAATATTTGGATCTTATGTTTTGCAGAAGCCTATATATATCCACCCTTCACAAAGGAAATTCATCTCAATCCATTGCCAGCGGTTTGAGTAGTGACCATGAAGTGAGCGATGTGCATTCGGGCAATGAAAGCCAAACTGCTACCCAAATCAGTGATACAGCCACTAAAGTACGTGGACTCAATTGTGTCAACAAGAATCCATGTGCTGCCTCAGGTATTGATGATGCAATGCACACTGAACTTCCCTAGCAAAGAATTTCAATCTAAGGGGTGCCCTGTCTTTAAGAGCTAGCTACGAGAGGAAAACTCCTACAATGTCAGATACTGATGATTGAGAACTTCTTTCTAGAATGAGTCAACTTAGACAATTCATATCTAAGCTTTTGTAGAACTTTGCAAAGCAATGAGTGTGTTGGTTTATAATTGTTTAATTACTGAGTTATAAGCTATTTCAGTTTGTGTTTTTAAACAATATGCAGTATGTTCAAGCATGAAACTGCTTCTGTTTTTATCATGTTTGTGGATGCATGATGTCTCCTTTATTAAGTTGCAGTGATTCTTTTTCTTTACACAAGTACTCATGCCTTTGTCTTAATACCATTTTCCCAGATCACATGTTCATGTGCTATTTAGTAAGTTGGCTGGTTTTTTAGCCTCTTTGTGGAGGGATTTGCTGTAGCTTGCAGCATAGAGAAAGGCTTGAATAAGAATTGTTTAGTTGTTTAATTACTAAGTTAGAAGCTATTTCAGTTTGTGTTTTCAAACAATATGTAGTATGTTCAAGCATGAAACTGCTTCTGTTTTTATCATGTTTGTGGATGATGATGTCTCCTCTATTAAGTTGCAGTGATACTTTCTCTTTACACAAGTACTCATGCCTTTGTTTTAATACCATTTTCCCATATCACATGTTCATGTGCTATTTAGTAAGTTGGCTTCTTTTTTAGCCTCTTTTTGGAGGGATTTGCTGTAGCTTGCAGCATAGAGAAAGGCTTGAATAAGAATTCGTAGATTCAATATTCAGCTCAGCTTCTCCGACCTGGGTCGGGTTATAAGCTAGTAATAAGATATATACCGTTGATTGTTGATTTTAAGTGGCGCTAGATCTAAGGGGTTAGATTAAATGGTTTTCTGATTTCCCTACACTTTAATTGGTTTTTATCTTTTTTTTTATATGGATTTCAAAACAAAAAAAAAAAGTACAAATGAAAGAGGTTCGTTGTGATATACAAAATAATATTCATTTTCAATATATTTTGAGATTTTTTTGTACCACCCATACCACTCGTTACCACCTTAATACCACTATGTACCACCATTGTTTTTCACTCAAAATTTCAAAAAATTTGTTAGCATGAAGGAATTTATCATGATATATTAGATCTATAAATTTATTAGAAAAATTTTCAGAACGAAATATACCACCCTGATATAGGATAACTAGCTAGTGGTAGACAATGATGAAAGTTGTAAATGACATTATATTCATAATATCATGTATTCAACCATTCTACATTATGATATATTCATACTGCCATGATACATTTTCATACCACCGTGGTATAATCTCATGTACTACCAGCATTACTACATAGTATGCATTGGTAACAAATGTCTCAAATTATTTTGTTCCAAAATATATCAGAGTGAATGTTATTTTAAAGAGGATAATTAATTTGATTTACCTACGCAAAAAATTAAAGTACGACTTAAAATGAAAGAGATATAATATGCTTAAATGAATTGGTTGAAAAGTTAGTTGTCTTCCATAAATGATAAGTGTAGGATTATGCATACCCAGTTGAGAATTAAGTCTCTCTGCCGTTTCAGGCCGTGGTTAAAAGTTAAAACCTTCATTATTGCTTTTTCTTAAGTAACTTTGACTCATTTGAGATCCAATAATTAGTGGGAACATTCATTTTATTTAAAATTAATATCTTAGCCTTCAATTCAAGTCTCACCTAAGCTAAAAATTTGATATGGTAATACCCACAATGGTAGCCCTACAACCCCGTGAAGTTAATTGCCTCAACCTATGCCCCATATGTTGGAGACATCGAGAGAGCATTGAACACTTATTTTTCAGATGCCCCCTGGCCATCCAATTGTGGACCTTAGTGGGACTGATATACTTAATGATTCCGCCCCGACTGTCAATTTTAGTATATGGTGGCAACAATGTCCTGATCTCCGAGATCTACCAATTCCACATTCTCCAATGCGTCTGCTTACTTTGGAGGACCTAGAAGTCTAGAAATAAAGTGATTTTTGATTTCTACCAACCTCATGTCTGTTCCCTTGCCAGCCAATTTTACTACCAGGTCCTTGAAGTCTCCAATCTCCGCCCCCGCCACCCTTCCGCCTCCTGCTTTTTCCTCTTAATTCCACCTCCAGCCACCTAGAATTCTTCGCCAGAAGACTTTTTGAAGTTCAACTTTGATGCAGCTGGTCGAGATGTTGGGTGCTCATCTGGTCTTGTTTTTCGTGGGTCAGATGGGGATGTGGTGTTGGCAGCCGACTTGCGTCACCAAAGAGTGGTCAACCCCGACCTAACAGAGCTCCTAGCAGCAAGAGACGCTATCACCATCGTCGCCTCAAGATCCTTGAATCTTGTGATTGTGGAAGGTGATTCCAAGGTGGTCGTCAAGAATATCCGACAAGGTGTCTTAGAAGATTTCATTTGGTGGTCCAGTGCTCGGGGAGTGTCGTTAGATCCTAGAGTCTTTGTCAATTTGTATAGCGTTTAGGGCGGTTCCTGGAACTGCCAACAGTGCTTCCCATAGAGTGGCGTGTAAAGCACTAATATTGCCTCGTCTAGAGCTAGAGTCTTTCGACTTTGTTGGGTGGGTTCACTAGGTTGTTGCTTGTAGGGGATTCTTGGGTAGTTTTGTATTATTAACTCTTATTCTCTCTTGGCATCACTCAGATATAAAAAACAAAGTGTAGGATTATGCATGATTATTGACCTATAGGTTATTACTGGAATCCATTACCCAACGATGAACATCCAGAGAGAGAAAATAGGAGATAATTTTAAATAAATTATTTATATTTAATGCATTTTTTTATATTGTACAAACTAACCTTCCATCTCAATAAATGTCATTCCTTTTTATGTACCATTAGTTCTATAATGAGGCTAGATAAATTTATCTAATGATAGAGAATAACTTAGTCATTTGACTAAGCACCTCCTAATTATGGGTCTGCTCTCCAATTTATGCTTGTTGCTCTAGACATTAAGCTTAAAGTCAGAAATAGGGGTGGCAGAACGGTTTTCGGTTAGCAATTAACCGGACGGTTTCAACCGAACCGACCGGTTTTCGGCTAACCGAAAACCGTGTCTTTTTATCGTCGGTCAGTTGTCGGAGGAGAGGGGAAGAGGTTCGGCTAGACGACTAATCGGGGTCGGAAACCGGCGGTTAACCGGCTAACCGACCTCTCCCCTTTACTCCAAAATGACACGCAACGACCCCCAAACCCTAGACCCTCTCCTTCGGCCTTCGCTGTCCACCAACCCCTTCCCCCTTCTAGCGCAGGCGACGCAGCGCCGCAGAGCGCAGGCAACCCTCGCCGCCGCCCAACCGCACGCTCGTCACCGCCTCCACTAGCCACCCCGCCGCCTCCACCTCGTCGCTTGTATTTGGACCATAAGCTTAGGTCGGAGAAGGAGTCCCCGATAGTGGGACAAATTAAATAAAAGAAAAGGGAAAGGACCATCGACAAGTAGTGAGAAGGAAAGGAGTACCCAACATTGAGGAAATCTTACAACTAGCAGTCCACGAGGCTGACCACGTCTAACTAGATTTGACGTGTGACAGAGGCGATGACAAATCGGAGTTTTTAGAAAGATATGACTTTGGAATAAAAAATTAGGATATATTTAAGATTTGATACTCTAATTTGGTCCGAACTCTACACGAATAGACTACTTTGCACCAAAATTTTCGGAACTCCTAAAGATGTCTATGTTTTCAAAATAATTTCTCTAATTTGTATGGTATGTCAATTAACCGTCAACTTGGATAGTCAATACATTCGAGTGTCCGTTCATAGTGTTAGTCAGTCAGCAACCTTAACTGATGTGGACGGAATACCTACGGGTTGAGGCCTTGAAGGTAGGCAGCTGGATAATAGATTGAAGTAGGCAAAAATTGTTGAATTATCACTCATGGGTTGTGAAAGAAGTAAGATGATCATTTGTGCTAAATGCAATTTAAGTTTTGGGAAGACAAAGAATCAATTGAGGATGATCATATTTTACCAACATATCGACAACACAAAATTTATACGTAATACATGCAGCTTAATGACACTTGAGACACCACCTCATTTTTTAGGTATATAAGAGCATATTTCGACTCTTCTATTTCTTACTCAAAAAGTCAAAATCCCTCTTCCCTTCCCCTGTATTTCACAACACTAAACCAAATGAAGCCTTCAAAGTCTTCATATATCACTACTTGGCCTGGAACTGGAAGAGATCATTCTCAAGGTATGGCTAAAACCCAAACCATAGCCTGGGTTAACCATCTCTTGTTGTTCTCTCTCATTGCCTTGACCCTAGTCTTCATCTCTTACTTCACCATTCATCATAACTCTGCTTCCCTCGCCAAGTACCTTACCGAGACTACTGCTGCTGGTGTTACATTCCAACAACAATACGCCGCAAGCAATGTGGCTGGAGGAAATACTTGCTCAGGACGTTACATCTATGTTCATCATCTGCCTACCCGTTTCAACGACGATGTGTTCAACAGCTGTCGCGATAGTTCGCTGCTCAAGAACCCTGATATGTGCCCAAACCTCTCCAACTTGGGATTTGGAGCTCAGGTCAATATTAAGAACCCATCTGGTGACCAGGGCTTGATCACGGAGAGATTGGCGAGCAGCTGGTACGCTACCAATCACTTCAGTCTCGAAGTCATCTTCCGTCACAGGTTGATGAAGAGCTATGATTGCTTGACCAATGATTCATCCTTGGCCTCCTTGATCTACGTGCCATTCTATCCCGGCTTCGACATTGTTAGACATCTCTGGGGGAATTACAATACAACTGTGAGAGATGCTCTAGGTTTTGAGTTGGTGAGCTGGCTGAAAAACCAGCCCAATTGGAAGACATCAGGTTTATGGGGAAGGGACCATTTCTTTGTTTCAGGCAGAATTGCTTGGGATCTTCGAAGACCAGATGACGATGATTCACATTGGGGAAGCAAGCTGATGCAACTTCCTGAAGCAATGAACATGACAATGCTTTCGATTGAGACAACTTCATGGAGCAACGAGTTGGGGATTCCATACCCAACATACTTCCATCCTCGTCGGCTAAAAGAAGTGCATCGATGGCAGAAGAGAATGACAAGACAAAAGAGGCCATACCTATTCTCCTTCGTGGGTGGGCCACGAGCTAACATGACAGACTCCATCCGTGGGGAGCTCATAAACCAGTGTTTAGCTTCAAGGAGGAATTGCAAGCTGCTGAACTGTCATTCAGCCAATTGTATGAGTCCAATTGAGGTGTTGAAAGTGTTTCGGAACTCGGTCTTTTGCCTGCAGCCTGCTGGCGATTCATACACCAGGAGGTCAACTTTCGATTCCATCTTGGCCGGGTGTATTCCTGTATTCTTCCATCCCTTTTCGGCTTATACACAGTACATATGGCATCTTCCAAGGAACTACTCTTCTTATTCTGTTTACATACCGGAAAATCTGGTGAGAGAAGGGAGAGTCAGCATCAGAATGCAACTGCTTCAAGTTTCAAAGGCGGAAGTAGTGTCGATGAGACAAGAAGTGATAAACTTGATCCCAAAGGTGATATACAGGGATCCAAGATCAAAATCGAAGGACTTTGAAGATGCATTTGACATTGCAGTTAAGGGAATGCTGGAAAGAGTTGGCAAAGTAAGGAGACAGATCGAGGAAGGGAAAGATCCAGGGACTGGATTTGCAGAACCAGGCAGCTGGAAGCTGAAGCTGAAGCTTGAAGATGGATGGTACAGGGAGAGATCGTGAGTGGGATCCGTTCTTCTGATATCTGGAAAAGAGAACCATTAATTGTTTCTGGCAGAGTACAAAAGAAAACCCATGATTTGTCTTGCTGAATAAAAGCAGATGAAGTCCATTTTCATGGCGAAGGGGGGAAATAAACCTGTTTTTATATTTGTAAAATCATCTATTACTGATAATGTGGAAAGTGAAATACAGGCGAGGAGAAAAAACTGCATATCTCAATTACATGAGTAAAGTGTAGCTGAAGTTTGAAAAACAGAAAGAGCACCAATGCCATTCTTCAATTGTAGCTGTAAGCAACTATAGGAAGCATAACATAGTGGCATGTACAACCGAGCGACAAAAATAAGACGATAGTATGAACATGAGCAAAACTTCTTGAGAACCAGCATTCTTTAGCCAGCCAAGCCAAGTAACCAATCACCAGCTTCACCCTTACATGTTGGATAGAACTTGGAAGCGAGACAAGAATGTATCTCTGTAATGTCAAGTGTCAACCATAAGACCTTACAAGGTAGAAGAACTTCTGGACCTGTGCACTTTATCTTCTTGAGGAGGATTCAAGGATGGAGATGAAACGGCAGCATGATACCCAGAAGAAGCAAGTTGTGCTAGTGCTGGAACTGCACCACCTATGCATTTTCCCGGAACAAAGATAACTCTGGTTAATATTCAAGAGAGTTTCTGGCGTTTTCCTTCTATGATGAATTATTATAGCAATATACTAGACCACAACTTTCACTAAAACATGCTGACCACTAGAATGCTGGAGCACATAAAAGAGCTTTGGACAACCATAATTCCCACATTCAGAGCAATGAATTGTAAACCAGCACTTTAATCATTCATTCAGGTCGGATATCAAACAGCTTCAACCAAGTGGATCAGCATCAGAGACAATCCTATATGGTGGAAACCAGAGAATCGACAGCATTTTGAGTACTAGTATTCAGAACCCAGTAAAAGATTGAATTTGATTTCTTCCTTTTCCATGGACAAGGAGATTCCGCTTGGAGCTAAGTGATACAAGTAGAAAGACTTCAAGAAAGCTAGAAGTGTTACCCAGTTAGATGCAAAAGTCACAGCTAGGAATCAGATGAAACATGGAACACTAGTTAAATCTATCTAAGCAAACAATCTTTATATTGATCTATTTTGGAAACGCAAACTTTAAAGGGGAGCATCGCTGACCTGCAAATCCGGCACAAGCTGAAGCGAATACAATTACTGGAGGTGCCTGCATATTAAAACAGTACATTTTTAAGTAGGAACTACCAACAAGAGAAGAACTGAACAAGGTAGATTAAACTCAGTCATAAGCATAACAAAGGATAATTTGTCATCACAATAAGCACGACTAAACTAAACCTACTTAGACTAACTACATAGCCAGAACAGTTTACAAAAGAAAAAAGCATTGATCTGCCGTTCATGGTTCAACACAATGACCAGGGATTGAAGCAAAATTCAGTTTCAGAACTAAGTAGATCTGAGAAATATGCTGTTCAGGCACATATAACTGTACCTTGCAAATGAAGGTATTCCAGACTAGCAGCAGAAAAAAAAGATAATCAAAGAAGTGGTACGAACTTACACCAATGAAGAAATGAACCCACATTGGTCCTTTTATGTACTTCTGAACTATCGGCATCACTGCATCACAAATTTTGTAGAGTTAAACAATGGGTGACCATCCTTTGACCAACAAAAATGCAAGAAATCTTGTTTTCATACCATGATTAAACCCATAGAATGCGCCAGCGGTACCACCAACAGCAGTTCCAATCTAAGCCAAATCAACAAAGGGATACAATTGGAATAATAGATGGTAAAATTTTCATAAACCAGGTAATGGTTAGATTACCAATTGGCATGACACAAGAAAACCCCATTCTCACACAAGTGTTAAACTAATATCAATAAGCTAAAGCTCCGGCCAACTGGTAAACAGTCAATTCATGGAGGAATCAATATGCGTAAGCTCACGACGTAGAATTGGCACGAATTCGAATAGTTGAGAGTATCCAGATACCGCTAGATTCAAAGATCAATATTCACCACTCACCCCTTATCATCCATAGAGAGAACAAAAAAGCAAGGGGAATCCTGGCAAATTCCCGTAGAAAAAGAGAACAAACCGAAACTTTACCATGGAAAAACTGTCTCGGAGCAGGGGTCGATTCGTCCAACCGCTAGTTTCCTGCAAAAATTGAATCGTCTCCACCATATGATCTAATGAGAAAAGAAAATGGAAGGAAGAGAAATTTTCAGAACGGGGAGATAACGAAAGAAGAACGGACTCACCGCTTCTTTGGTAAGAGGGCCGGCGCAGTGATGGCAGCGCAACCTTTTGAGAATCTCCGATTTCGAATCCGCCATTACTAACCGTCGTCTGGCTCCTTCCTCCGCAAGCTCCTCTCTCTGTGAAACCCCCAAAACCCTTTCTAGTTAAGATGCCAACGGCAACTCAGCCGGGTCATGGTCCGACCAGTTCAATCAAACGGTGTCGTATCATTAGGCTAGTAGGACGGGACACGTGGGCGATTCGAAGGCAAAGTTGGATTCGCAAACTCAGCTAAGCAATTAAACGATGCCGTACCATCTGATTAGTTGGGCGCAACGGTGGACGATTGGAACTAATTGGAAGGCAAAGTTGGATTTGGGCATTTCGCCTTTTTCTTTTTGTTATTTGTCCCGGCGACCGCTTCACCGCCGCCAGCGAGACCTTTGGCTTTTGCCTTTCTTCTTCCATATAAAGAACAATTTCAGATTCCATTTGAAGGTCTACAGAGATCTTTCCCGACTCCAGACTCCCCCGTTGCTTTGAGAGCGCGAAGACTTGTTTGATCCGGAATCGTTGAAGAAATGGGGATTATGTCTGATATTCGAAGCTATTGGGAGCGGCAATCCATGGGAAGTCTTCGGTATCGTGGCAGCAGCAGCCATCGCAATGCCAGCGGCGCCATCTATAAAAGAAATTCCTTCGCGATTGCTTCTCCCGACGAGAAACGCAGCAAAGCTTTTGCCCGAGGTTTAAAGCTCGCTTCCCCCTTCCTCGTCCTCTTTCATCCGGTTTGAAGCTCGTTTTGCGCTTTTATTTTCTGCCCGATTCTGATCTCTCGCGTCTCTTTCTGTTCTTCCCCACGCCGTTTGCTCTTGGTGCAGAAAGCGTTGTTGCGGGATTTAAAGCAGCTGCCATCGCGGCCGTACTCAGCGCGGTGCCTGTGGTAAGTTTTTTATGATGCCCTTGTGGTAAGGATTTCACCAGTTTATGTGAAAATTGTTCTGTTGTTTCTTATGTCCCAATCTTGAATGGATGAGTTGCTTGCTCCTGATGCTGAAGCTCTAAGTGATGAACCTAGGTGGCCTGGTTGTGTGGGGATCAAGTAGTGTTAATTTTGTGGACACTTTGAGTTGATTGTGCCCTCTTCTGTTGATGGCGTGAGAAGTATGAGGCATATATGGATGGTATATATCTGCGTGTTCATATTCATCACCACTGTAGTGTCATAGAAGTTTTCGAATTGAGGTGCCATGTAAAATAGATACACTATTAACTGCTCTCGTTCTTACGTGAGTGTGTCATCGACGAGAGAGTAGCAAATTGGCATACTTCCTCACCATTCTTCTATATGTTCAGGTAGTAGCTTGTCGCAAGATTCCATGGGCAAAGAGGAACCTAAATCACACTGCTCAAGCGCTCATCATATCCTCTGGTATGACTCTGAACATACACTCTTCACCTTACATGGTTCCCTTGTTAGGCTGTAAACAGTAATGATAGCTAGTGAATGTGTGTGTTCGCTGGGCACAAGCTCACCAATTTGACATGGCGGAATCTCGCTTTAGGTCCTAGATCTCTTGCCACTAGTAGTTACATGGAAAGAAGTTCTGAATGTCCATGAGAGTTGCACTCTGCGATCCTAAAAACCTTCATGAAAAGCACACACCTCACTGTTTTTCCGAACAATGTGATAAAGCCGATTGCCCTTATGCACTGCCATGAGGTGAACTGCACATTAACCAGGTTCCTTGTTAGACTGTAAATACAAATGCTAGCTCGTGAATGAATATCTTCGCCCTATGCAGCCTTTTTGGCACATAACCACGCCGCTTGAGGTCTCCTGTCTCGCTAGTGACCTATATTGCATCTGCTGATTATGTATGGCTGCAAGGGAACGTCAATTTCTGAAAACCCTGGCCAGTCGAGGGATGTACTTGACTTTTGGTGTTTTCCTTCCGGTACTCACACAATGGCTTGTGGTGTCATTTGTTAACAGCATCCATTTCCGCCTTCTTTATCACTGCTGACAAAGCTACTTTGGAGAGCGCAAGAAGCAACACTCACTACGACAAAACAGCTTGAGAAAGGTCAACTTCCCCATTTGTGGCAGGCAGTCCTTTGTAGTTGTGAAGACTCGACTCAGGCAGTTTGGCCATGCTTACCGTGAAATAATAAAACCCTAAGTGTTCGTCTGTAATTTGGCATATCAATGGCCTGATTGTTAGTTTTTTCTACTTGCACACATTTGGGGAAAGCACGTACCTAAATGTTTAATCCAGCGACGAGTTCTCCTACGGCTACATGAACCAAGTTCCTTATTAAGTTGAAGACACATCTCTCCCTTCAACTACGGTGCCTCACTGTAAAATAAATCGGCTCCTACATTCGTTATTTCTCTTTGCCTAACAAGGTGTTTCATTTTACCAGCGAACTACTGGTTTGACCATACCAATGACAAGATGGCAATAATCTTAAAGATGATGGTTCGGAATATTATTGTTTGTGTTTTAGGGTTAGTATGTTGTGATGTCGCGTCTTGTCGCGGAGCGAAGATGGTTTATGAGCATGTATTATGTGGCATGTTACAGTGTTTTGTTAGTATTAGTAGTCTAAAATTAATTTTTTGTTAGCAATTTTGTTAGTAATATTGATTGAGAAGAGATATATGACGGTCGACATCAAATTTAATTTTTTTTGAAAATTTTGGCTAATAAATGACATTTTTTTTTATAAATAGCTAATAAATGATATTAACCTAAATCCAAGTAGACTCATTGATTATGGATAGGATATGGGTGACGTATATATAGGTTTGGAAATTTGTAGTTGGGTTTGAGTTTGGATTTGGTATGTATATTACTTTCATAATCTAAATGTTTAAAAGTTGGGTATGGATACCCATTTATTAAAGGGTGTTTTAATTACACATACAAAAATTAGACCTATTTGTAGAACTTCAAAAGTTTAGGTATCAAAATGTAATACAAAAAAATTTATGTACTAAAGTGTAATGTTCCATCAATATTTTGTGGACTATATGCCAAAAAAATCAATTTAGATTATAACTCTAAGAATCTATTAAGTTAGGTACGGGTTAAAGACACATTTGGTCACTGAGATTACAAAATCGGGACATGTTTAGTCACTATAAAAAGTTAATATCAAATTTGGTCACTACAATTACTAAAACTGGACACATTTAGTCACTCGCCGTTGGTTGCCGTCCAACTCCGTTAAAAGAGTCCGTTATGTGCTGACGTGGCTAACATGAGCGCCAAGTCAGCGCCGTTTTGGGCAGGAAATGGTCAAACCCGACCTGCCACATCACTAAACCCGCCACATATTAAACCCAACCCAATCCATCAACCCGACCCAGAAATAAACCCTAACCCACCTAACCATACCAGATCCCACTTAAAAAAAACAAAACTGATTTGTTTCCATTTCAGACCAAAAACCCTTCTCCTTCCTCGAGAGCTCTTCCCCTTCGTGTGCCTCACTGCCCTCCCGGAGGACATCCTCCGCCACATCCTGATCGCCGCCGATCTGGACCTAAAAACCACCGCCCAGACCTCCTTTCTGTCCCACCGCTGGCGCCACCACTGGCCATCCGCCCCTCCGCGAAATCCGCCTCGAAACCCCGCGCCAAGGAAGGAGAAGGGTTTCTGGGTCTGAAATGGAAACAAATCAGTTTTTTTTTTAAGTGGGATCTGGTATGGTTAGGTGGGTTAGGGTTTATTTCTGGGTCGGGTTGGGTTAATGGATTGGCTGGGTTTAATACGTGGCAGGTTTAGTGACGTGGCGGGTCGGGTTTGACCATTTCCGACCCAAAACGGCGCTGATTAGGCGCTCACGTTAGCCACATCAGCACATAACAGACTCTTTTAACGGAGTTGGACGTCAACTAACGGCGAGTGACTAAATGTGTCCAGTTTTAGTAATTGTAGTGACCAAATTTGATATTAACTTTTTCGAGTGACTAAATATGTCCCGATTTTGTAATCTCGGTGACCAAAAGTGTCTTTAACCCAGTTAGGTACCGAACTATAATTTGCATAGTTTAGGCTTAATTCTTTTTGTGGTGATGTATTTAAGATGATAATTATTTACTTTTTTATAAAAAATGGGAACTATTTATTTGATATTTGTAGATACATAGCCAAACATTGCATGTATAATTGTTGAAAATAGAAAAACTCTAGAGAGAAGCAAAAGGAATACAAATTGGAACTCGCCTAAAATTTCAAGCCTTCAAATCTCATAGTGGAAAATGACGGATTTCTAATAAATAATAACCATGCATATTTATTTTTAATTAGACTCGACATTGAGCTGAAAAGGTTAGTGGTTCGTGGTTTAACTATTAATTCTCTAGACTGTTGGTGAGTCGTGTATGGACCCGTTCATACTTATGATTAGAATACATAAAAATAATATAACAATTAAGGTTAGACGAAGAATGCAAAGTAAGGGTTATGGATGGCAAGTGAAAAATGAAACGAAGAGGAAGTAAATGATGGAAAGGTTTTGACCAATTCTTTTAGTTGGCCATTAATTTCAACAGTCAACCCTTTTCATCGTAGTAATTTATTGACACTTGCTCATGTAGATGTCATATATTTTGTTACATGTAGTTAGTATAAGTTTGTTTAGTACCCCGTAAATGTACTAAATGAGTTTATAAATTCGCTCTTGCAATATTTTAGAGTCGTCTCTCTTTTATTATTTATTTAATGGTTAAATTGGTCGAATCTTCTCCTACAGTTGAGTGATACAACATTTTGTATGGTACAAACTAAAGTTATACTTTTATGTTATGGTGGATTGGTTCAGAAGGATCGGTGGATTGGATTCATGGATTCAAGTGAAATCTAAACATCTTGTATGGTACAATCTAAATTTATACTTTTATGTTATGGTGGATTAGATTCATGGATTGGTTCAAAAGGATCGGTGGATTAGATTCATGGATTCAAGTGAAATCTAAACATTGGACCAATATGTAAATTTAAAAAATTGTAGTACAAAAATCTCATAAATTTTTTATACAAAACATAATTGTTCAATGATTTTACATTATAATTAAATATGGGATATAAAAAATGTAAAATGTACATTATAGTGATTAAGTTATAATTTAATTAAATTTAGAGTATCAAACTGTAAAATGTACATTATAATGACTAAGTTGTAATTTTTTATGCAACAGTAACCTCACTTCTTCTTTACATATATACATATAGTAATTTGGTTTCTACCATTGTTAAATTAATGTATTATTATGAATACATGTTTTATTGAAATTGGTGCATTATAAATTAGGGTAATGTCTTCTTTTTTTTTGCCAAAAGATCGCTCGTATTACCGAGAAAACAGCCAGATACAAAATAGTCACATAGCTGAAACAGTCAAGAAACAAAATTGAACCCCACCTAAGAAGGGGACAACGAAAGGGCTTTTCTTGCCACCAAATGGGCAACCCTATTAGACTCCCAACCCACAAAAATAACCCGAAACTCCTGGAACAAGTCACGCATACTTCGAATCTCCTCCAACAGCATCCCTCCATGGACATCATCTACCTCACCATCCCGGATCTTCCCCACGATCACTTGGGCGTCACCTGCAAAAATCATCGACTGGAATCCAAACGCCAAGCACCATCGAAGCGCATCCCGGAAGGCCAGTAGTTCCACAAGAGCCGGCTCCCAAATCCCCACATATAGTGCTGCCGATGCTGCCACCACCATGCCCGTGGGATCCTGAAGAGCCCAACCTCCTTAGGGTAATGTCTATCTATTAACCAAATCTTTTTTAGATTCCTTTTTAACCATAACCAAACGTTAACTCTCTGTTAACTTTTCTGTTAATAATGCTGACTAAACGTGATGATGTTGAGTTGGCTTCCCATGTGGTAGTCAGAATACCACAATTTTCTATTTTTATTTAAAAAAGTTTATCAAAGAATTCTGGAATGTTTGACTTCCATGTGTCACTTCTAAGTCAGTATCATGTTGCCAAGTCAATACTAGTATCAAAATTGCTAACTGAAAGTTAACATTTGGCTAATTATTAGTGTTTCAATAGGTTTGACTAATAAAAAAGAATGTGGCAAAGATGATCAGTGGTTGACCAGCTGATGTTGCATTTTTTGACTGCCATATCAGAATATTCCTTCCAACTTAGTGCCACATCTGACAACTGGCCATCATCAAATAGAAAAGTTAATGGAGATTGGAGAATTAAGGTTTGGTTAATAAGTATTATTCAATAAACTTGAGTAATATAAAAGAATCCAAAAAATGTTTGACTAAAAAATAGTCATTTCCCTTAGGCAAAATACACTTGTATAGTCATATTTTGAAAAATACACAAATATAGCCATGTTCTTAAAACTTTATTGTCAAATTTAGCCATTTCCGTTACAAATATTGACGGCGTTAAAGATGCCGTCAGTAATGTGGACGTGGTGCTTACATGGACTCGCCCTAATTGACAGTAAAAAATCCAAAACTACCACTGTTTAAAAAAAAAATTACAAAAATACCACCCACTCCATAGAATTTCCAAAAATACCACCCTTAATTTAAAACCGCGCCTCTAAGGAGCGGTTTATAAAAAAACCGCGCTCCCAGGCGGCGGTTAAAGCTAAAAACGCGCCCCCAAGGCGCGGTTTGACCATGCATGGCTGTCAAACCGCTTTGCCAGGTGGCGGTGCATCAAACCGCCCTTTCGAGGAGCGATCTGACGGCTAAACTGGCTGCCAAGTAAGCGATCCGCGTCACCCCACAAAAACCGCTCCCTCGAGGCGCGGTTTGACCGTTGGAAAAAGCAAACCGCCCTCCCGAGGCGCGGTTTGACCATCGGGATAAGGAAACCGCGTGCTGGGGGCGCGGTTTTTGGTTGCGAGAATTTACCAAACCGACCCTCCCCCACGCGGTTTGAAGGCTATATAAACCCCCCCCCCCCCCCCACCCCCTCATTTCTGCACACCATCCACCACACTCCCCTCTCTCCCTCTAACTTCTCTCTACCCAACCCCTCCCCACCCAACCTTAGAATTAGTTTTTTTGTTGGTTGCGGCCTAAGTCCGATCTGCCTCCAAAAAACTTTTCTTTGGTTTTCACTAAAAAACCGTCGAACCTCTGTCCGGATTCCGAGAGAATGGCCGATTTCGCTCAAGAAGAGGGTCTTTTTTATGATGATTATCAAACGGTACGTACTCATTGTTTCCAATTGTTGTTGTTGTTATAATGATTTATTTAATTTATATACTAATGATTTATGTTATTGTTATGCTATCGTAGGTTGGGCCGGATGTTGATATTTTCAATCAACGATATTACGTTGATCAAGGACCGATTGATCCGACAGTTTTATACGATCAAGCAAATCATCGTTCAAGAGACGTTTGGAACGACCATAAGGTACATATTATTTATCATCACTTGTAATTTGTATTTTGTTAAAGTAATTTATTTGTTGTACAATAATTTACATAATTGTTAATCGTATTGATTATTTTCAATAGTTTAAATCAATACAATACAACACTTATTGAGACTCTTTATAAAGAAATGCATGTCTAAGGAAATGGGGACTTAAGCGATCATCATGATCCCCCCATGACCTGGGAAAATCGGGTTCTAAGCGATCCTCGGATCCCCCCTTTTTCTGTCAAAAAGACTGTGTTTCTAAGGAGATGTATACCTCTCCTAAGAGTCTTACGAGTGTACTTGTATTGCTTTAAATTATTGAAAATAATCAATACGATTAACAAAATAATATATTTGGATATTATTTTAGTTATGTTAATATTAATGTTTATTAGATAATGTATATTTCTATAAAATCGCTTAATTTAATATTGCGTCTTAAAAAATTGGTTTAGTTATGTTAATATTAATGTTAATTAGATAATGTATATTTCTATAAAATCGCTTGATTTAATTAATATTGCATCTTATTAAATTATTTTAGTTATGTTAAAATTAATGTTTATTAGATAATGTATATTTCTCTAAAACAACCTTGATTTATATATAAATTGTATCTTATAATATATTTATATATGTATAAATCATCAACTTATAGTGAAATTTAATTTTTTCTCTAGGATGCATACCATATAGTCCGCTATAGGGGCACAACGAATGTGCTTGAATGGAACGACGTCATCTTGCCCTTTCTAAAAAGGGCAAGATTGGATTCGATTAGGCATTTCAACGGAATTAAGATCGACCGCCAACTCATCACGGCGATGGTAGAGAGATGGCGAAAGGAGACACACTGCTTCAATTTTCGTGAAGGCGAGTGCACGATCACACTTAAGGACATCGCCATCCTAACCGATCTCCCCATCGATGGTGATGTTGTTTGTGTGGACTCTACGCCACCACCTAAAGTTGTTGCCAATATGAGTGGTTGGCAACATTTTATATGGACGGTCACCGGGTTGTGTCCGCCAGAAAAGGGAGATCACGATGCGGATGGTCATCCACCATTGTCCAAGGGCCAAGTATCCATCACGTGGTTGACGGCGGAGATCAGGCGTAAGCACAACTCTGAGTTCGGAGGCATTCCCCTCACGGAGGAAAGCGTGTCGTATTGATTACTTTTCATTGTCTTTGTGATTTTATGTTAGTAACTTAATTACTTTTGATTGTCCTTTGTGATGTTATGTTAGTAACTTAATTACTTTTCATTGTCATTTGTGATTTTATGTTAGTAATTTGAATTACTTTTCATTGTCCTTTGTTTATTAGATAATGTATATTTGTTGTACAATAATTTACATAATTGTTAATCGTATTGATTATTTTCAATAATTTAAAGCAATACAAGTACACTCGTAAGACTCTTAGGAGAGGTATACATCTCCTTAGAAACACAGTCTTTTTGACAGAAAAAGGGGGGATCCGAGGATCGCTTAGAACCCGATTTTCCCAGGTCATGGGGGGATCATGATGATCGCTTAAGTCCCCATTTCCTTAGACATGCATTTCTTTATAAAGAGTCTCAATAAGTGTTGTATTGTATTGATTTAAACTATTGAAAATAATCAATACGATTAACAATTATGTAAATTATTGTACAACAAATATACATTATCTAATAAACAAAGGACAATGAAAAGTAATTCAAATTACTAACATAAAATCACAAATGACAATGAAAAGTAATTAAGTTACTAACATAACATCACAAAGGACAATCAAAAGTAATTAAGTTACTAACATAAAATCACAAAGACAATGAAAAGTAATTACGAAACAAACTTACGAATTAACGTTAATCGCAAAAACTAAATAATTTAAAGGTGCAAAGCTGAAATTTGAGGAAGGAAGTGTGAAGAATTGTGTTCTCCGAAACAGCCTTTTATAGGCAAATTTTGCACCAAAACCGCTTTGGGGGGGAGCGGTTTTGGGTCTGCCATGCAGCCCTACCCCTGCATGCCGACATGTCGGATGTCGGGTGACCAGGCACAAACCGCGCCCCAGAGGAGCGGTTTGTGTCCAGACAATGTAAACCGCCCCTTCCCCAGGCGGTTTGCTTGCCGACAATGAAACGCTCCCTCTACCAGCGTTTTCTGGTAGGGTTTACCCTATAACCGCGCCTCGCACAGGCGGTTTACTCCAGAAAATAAAAACGCTCCTCCAAGGAGCGGTTAGATAGGAAAACGCCTCTTAGAGGCGCGGTTTCATTGAAAACCGCTCATCAGGGGGGCGGTTTTAAATTAAGGGTGGTATTTTTGGAAATTCTTTGGAGTGAGTGGTATTTTTGTAAATTTTTTTTAAAACAGTGGTAGTTTTGGATTTTTTCCTAATTGACATGTCATCAACAACATGTTGAGATGGATGCCACCTCACCATCCACATCAACTCTCAATTGCCATGTCAGATTAAATTTTTATTGATTTTAGAGATTATTTATAAAACATAATTAATAGTTTTTTATTAATTATGAAACAAAAATCCAATTATACTTTGTCTTCAGTTGCTTGCCGCCGCTGCTTGACGGTGTGCCGCTGCTCATCGGTGGTGCCGCTGCCGCCCTCTTCGTTACTAGCAGGCCATCGCGACCCACCGGAACAACGCGGTGAATCATCGGCCCATAGAGCCTCTTCTCATTACTTTGAATCTCAATTCTCCCCTCTTTTTCATGAAATCGGATAAACAACGCCAACACCAGATGATGGTCCCTGCACGACTGGGTTTCCGCGGCCAACTCCTCGCGTCGGATCGTACATCTTCCCCGACACAACAGACAACGATGAACTGAGGAAGAAATAGGCTCCGTAATTAAGGAAATCGAGACAGAAGGGACTGGTTTGAGAAGGCTTCGTCGGGAGATGCTTTGTCTCCTCGGGCTATTACAACTTTCCAGATCTCGTAACACCAGAGCTCAGAACTCTGCATGCTTCAATGGCGGTTCCCAAAATTGATTTCGATTCAGAGCTTAGAGTTCTCCCTCTTTCTCGCCTCGCCATACCAAAGCCACAAAACCCACAAGAATCCATTCCATAGAAATTTGATTCCAACCTAGAAACCTCACTATTTCTCCCTTCTCCCTCTCGTACTCTTCTTCCTCTCTCCACCTCCCACTACCCAGTCGTAACGACGTCTAAAGACGAAGGAAATTCAATTGACGAACTCAGGTCGTTCTCCCCATGGTCGGAATTTGAAATCGGTAGCGACGGAGCCCAGGAAGTTTCGATCCCGCTGGCCGCTGCTACCTGTGCGAAGGAAACCCAATCGTTGGCAGCGATTCTTCTTCAACCTCTATTGGGGAGCAAGGAAGCAAGGCTATTCTTCTTCAATTGCTCTGCTCCATCTGCTCATCCTTGCTCTCTTCGACGACTCTACTTAAGAGAAGAAATTGAAGACGGAAAGGGAAGGAAGTCGGAGATGACGAGCAATGGAAGAGGAAAAGACAACTTTCCATGTTTTGTTTTTTTGTTTTTCCATTAATTATAATAATATTAAAAGTTCTAATTCCATCTGTCATTGGGTTTGACAAAAAAAAAAAGTGCCACGTCATCAAACAGTATCAGTCCAGTCAGATCAGTAACGTTGCTGTTAAACTTTTGGACGGAATGGCTATATCTGTGTATTTCTCAAAATTTAGCTATGTCACAAAGTGGATAATTATGGCTATGGAGATGTATTAAGCCTATAGTTCAATAACTTAAATCGGTGCTCTTCAAAGAGTAATATGGATCGAAACGTTGTCATTTTATTGAGATCGGAGACCAGAACATCCCTCGTCGTCCGACTTTGAATAGATCCGTCTGTCTCCGTCCATCTTTACGGCCTTGTGTCCGATTTTGAGGAGGCGACCATAATTGATGCTGCTTCCAACTTTGTTCATAGTACTGCAGCGAAGACGAACATGAAAGTCGCTTTCTTTCTTTCAATCGCCATTTTGTCTCTTCTTGCTTCATGGTCATCTTCTTCTCCTTCCGTTTCATTCCTCGGAATTGCCCCACAAGGTACTTCCCCTTACCCTGTGCGAGTACCGCTAGTTTAAGTCTGAACTCGTTCTACTAATAATGCTGGATTTTGGATTTTCGGAATCTACCCAGATGAGAATTACTTCAGAAAAGAGACCATTAAGTGTAGGAATGGATCCAGGAAGTTCACTAAAGCTCAGCTCAACGACGATTTCTGCGATTGCCTTGATGGCACCGATGAGCCAGGTCACTCATTTCTCTGCTTTGAGCTTGTCCCCAATTGACCGACTGAAACCCTTTCTTTTAATTGCTTGATAGTTAGAATTGCCTCGAGAGAACGTTGATCTAGTGAGTTGATAGCAGCAATGCTTGTGGTTTGTGGGCTTAAGGAAACAATTCATTGAAGTCCTTTGGCAATGGCTTAATGCTTTGTAATTTTATGTGTTACGACAGGAACATCAGCTTGCCCAGAAGGAAAGTTTTATTGTCGGAATGTGGGACACCTTCCCACTTCTCTATACTCATCCATGGTGAATGATGGCATCTGTGGTAATATTGGCTTTCTTTGTTGAATAGCTCTTCCTTCTGGGAATTGACTTTATCAGCTCATTCCAATTTTCCTGTAGTTTGATCACTTCTACGACTTACTTTACTCTTTACCTCGAAATGGGAAAAGAGCAGATTGCTGTGATGGGAGTGACGAGTATGATGGTAAAGTGAAGTGCCGAAACACTTGCTGGGAGGCAGGCAAGAAGGCTAGAGACAAGTTGCAGAAACTGATAGATATGTACCGAGAAGGTGTAACCATAAGGAAAAGGGAAGTTGAACAAGCAAAAGAAGCAATCTCCAAAGACAAAGCAGAACTATCTGTGCTGAAAGCTGAAGAAAAGTCCCTTGACAAATTAGTAAACCAACTGAAGGGTATGTTTCATGCACTTAAGTTGTATGTGATCTTCATGTTTATCTATACCTTATTTGACATTATTTGTTGACACTCTTGTGTAGTACGGAAAGAGCAAATTGAGAAGGCTGAGGGAAAAGAACAGTTAGAGAAAGATAATGAAGATAGGCCAAATGTTCAGGAAAACTTTGAGTCCACTGAGGCAAGCGGAAAGGAAGACTCGTTGACTTCTGAGGATGACGTGATTGGTCTTGTGGAACAGGTTTGGTCCACCTCTCTCTTTTGAGGAGTTCTGATGGTGAACAGACAGAAATGCTTTGAATAGCACACATAATGACTTGAAATCTGTCTTATATTTCTATTTTCCAGGAAGAGACTAAAAGTGAACATGAAGATACTAATGTTGCAGAAGATGGATCAGAAAGCATAGAGGACATGTCAAAGGAAGAGATAGGTCGCCTTGTGGCTTCACGTTGGACAGGTGAAAGAACTGGAGAAGTTGAGGAAACTGGCTCTGGTGCAGATAGCAATGAAGGGAAGGATGGGAGTCTGAATATACCCAGTGATGGTGATAGCAAGAAGAATGTATATGATCACCATCAATCATCCATAACTGATGATCTTGATAGTTCCAGTGTTGTGCATGAGCCAGGCTTGGATAAGCAAACACAGTTTTTAGGTCAGGAGAGGGCATCTTTTGTTGCTGTTATGGTTTCCTATGAATGCTTTGAATTTTCGTAATAGTTATGATCTTTTCCCTCATTTCAGGTTTCACTATTCACATCCAATCTTGGCTGAGAAAGATGCAGGATGTCAGCCAAAACCTTTTAAGATCCGTTAGTTGGTTCTCAAGTCCACTTGATAATCTTGGTGAGTTTCTTACTTCAAGTTTGTTGTTCATAGGTACAATCTCCTTATCTTGTATTATTATGGGACCCAGATGCAGATAAAATTCGAAAAGAGTACAAGGAATCTACTGCAAGGCTGTCCAGTGCACAGGAAAGGATATCAAGTTTGACAGAGAAGTTAAAACATGACTTGGGTAGGCCCGTTACTGGACTGATGGACTGTATTCAGTTAAGATCTCTCGCAGATGAATCTTATCATCAATCCTGAAAAGAAGTGGATTTTGATTGCAGGTGTTGATGGCGAATTCTACACACTTTATGGTCAATGCTTCGAGACCAAGCAGGACAAGTTATATTTCTTAACTATTGTTTTCCATTCTCTTTATATTCTATCCATGAAGTCTTTCAAGTGTAAACATATGATATAACCTGGTAGGTTTCGTGTTTCAGGTATGTATACAAAATTTGTCCCTTCAAAGAAGCTGTTCAGGAGGAGGGACAGTATCACAAAACACAACTAGGGTACGGATAGTCCATATATACTCTCGTAGGAAGCTGGAAAAGAAACACTCATACATCCGATAACATTGCATTAAACGCTTGATGGTGGTGGAATCAATCAGGTACTGGGAGAAATTTGAAGAATCATACAGTGCCATGTTGTTCTCAAATGGTGCCGGTTGCTGGAATGGACCACGTAGAAGTATCAAGGTATTGTGATTAGAAGGTCTTATTTCGAATGCTTAGAATTGATGAACTAATAAACCCAAGCGACTTGGCAACTGGCTCTCTCCCTTGTTATCAGGTGAAGCTGAGGTGTGGATTGAAAACAGAACTGACTGATGTGGATGAACCAAGCCGCTGCGAGTAATGCGATATTTTTTACACTCCTTTCTGTAAAAACAAACCCACTTGTAAGACTTTGATTTGGCTTTCTCTCATGCATTTCCTTTGTTTTTTGTGTGTGTCAATTGGCAGATATTTGGCAGTCCTGTCAACCCCTCTAGGATGTCTTGATGGAAAGCTTAAGGTAATCGTCCATAAACACCAGAGAAGCTCACTTTTACTCCTCACGCTTCATTGTTTAACCGGCAAATGGGGTTCCCAACAGGAACTCGAGGGTAAACTGGAAATGCTGCAGAAGGAGAAGCCTGAAGGCCACGACGAGCTCTAAACTCACAGCGAAATTAACATGCTCAATATCATTCCAGCCGCTCCTAATCTCTCTCTCGTTCTCGATATGCTCTATAGATTCGCTGTCTGACTGAGTCTGAGTTGCGGGCGATTTCCCATCAGGAATCAGAGGTACAGGAGATGGTATTATCTGTATTCGTTACTGCGTGCTTAGGTTTGACGCAGGAGCTTTCCATGGTATATGCCGACATTGCTTTTGGATCACAAAGCAATAAGGGAATTTAATTGAACGAACTGTAAACTCATTCCGACCATTCCATTAACAAAAGGGACCGAAAGTAGTTCTCTTTAGAACGTGGGTTGGTGCTTTGTTGTTAATTGTTATGGTGCAGGTGCTGTTAGTGTTTGATGATTCCTATTCCAGGCAGCAGCTAAAGTAGAACTAAAAAGCCATCGTTTATGCTCCCACGTATTTTATTTTACTGCGTTGTCCTTGGTCTATCGACGGTGGTTTGGCAGCCATGTTTTTCAGTCACAGAGGACTCACAGATTTCATAATTAGGAGCGTGCCGCGATCCGGTTTGGACGAGATCAAAATATTGAGAATCGTTGTTCAATAAGGTGAGTGTCATCTTATGACTAAGGATCGGATTATCATTGCACTCAGTCCGATTTGGTTTGGTCCATTTTGCTTTCGTATTTACAAAATTTATGGGGACCAACTACCTGACCATATTATATTCGGTTTCCTTGAATTTTTTTTATAAAATAGTTTCTTTGAAATTAATATATATGTCAATATTGAGAAATGACAACATAGTAAGTTATTAATCAGCCCTCTTCCAGAAGTCATTCAATTATGAACTACTACGATCGAACTTATGCTTCTATCGTCATTTCGAATTTGCTAATCGTAATGGTGTGCTAAGTATTATATTTGCTAAAATATGGGTTGTGTGATGAGCTGGTGGGCTTCTCATTTTTTTTTTTTTTGACAGTAATGCATGTGATCAAACATAATCAAGTGTCAAAACCTTTCACACTTGATTTCAAAATTAATATTTCCTATAAAATATCTGACCCAGAAGAACTTGGATTAATAAGTCATATTTTCCACTACTAAAAAATGCCATATACAGAACACCGTGTCCGTACTAGAGTCTTTAAAAGCTTTATTATTTATAAAACGAGTGAAAATAAGCGGTCTTTATTGGACCAGAAGAAGTCCAATACTATCAGCTGTATATTACAGATCTAAAACAAGAAGGTGTGAAAGCAGTTATACAACTGCAGCAGAACATTCCAGAAGTTTAACCCTTTACCTTGAGGGTCAAGAAAACCTTCCCTCTCAACGAGCGGAGAGCACAAATAAATGCCTCTGATTATATATAAAAGATTCCTTCTCTCCCACGCTTTCATATTCCGGCAAGGGAAAGGGCACATATCATTATTATTCGTCTCTATAAAACCCACAGCAAACTCCTTGTTCCGTGTCTCGTAATCAAACTTCTAATTACTCTCTTTCAGTTTCCCTGAGGAGAAAAGAAAAGAGGACTCAAAGCGAAGAAACAATGGAGAATTCGATGGCGAGCTTGCTGGCTGAGACCCCCGGCGGCGGGCGGCCCAAGACCAAGATCATCTGCACACTCGGCCCTCAATCTCGCTCCGTCGACATGATCTCGAAGCTTCTGGAGGCCGGCATGAACGTCGCTCGCTTCAACTTCTCCCACGGCACCCACGACTACCACCAGCAAACCCTAGACAACCTCCGCGCCGCCATGTCCGCCACCGGCATCCCCTGCGCCGTCATGCTCGACACCAAGGTACCTCCTCAAATACTTCAATTTCAGCAACGTTTTCTCGATGCTTAACCTAATTTCAGTGACAATACCTTACTTTCTTCAACAATCCTTTTAGCAGTTGGCACTGAACCGTCTGTTTTACCTTTTTTTTCCCCCGGCGAAATTCAGGGGCCGGAGATCAGAACGGGGTTTCTGAAAGACGGGAAGCCAATCGAGCTCAAGCAAGGCAGCGAGATTCTGATCTCCACCGACTACAACCTGAAAGGCGACGAGACACAAATCGCGATGAGCTACAAGAAGATTGCGGAGGATGTGAAGCCAGGGAGCAGGATTCTGTGCTCGGACGGCACAATTTCACTTAGGGTTTTGTCCTGCGACAGGGAGAAGGGGCTGGTCAATTGCCTGTGCGAGAACTCCGCAACCCTAGGCGAGAAGAAGAACGTCAATCTCCCCGGGGTCATCGTCGATTTGCCCACATTGACGGAGAAGGACAAGGACGACATCTTGAATTGGGGGATCCCCAACAAAATCGATGTAATCGCACTCTCCTTCGTCCGGAAGGGCTCCGATCTCGCCGCGGTCCGATCCCTAATCGGCGAGAAGAACGCCAAGAACATAATGCTCATGTCCAAGGTCGAGAATCAGGAAGGAATCGTCAACATCGACGAGATCATTGCGAGCTCGGACGCGCTCATGGTCGCGAGGGGCGATTTGGGGATGGAGATTCCCGTGGAGAAGATCTTCCTCGCCCAGAAGACGATGATCCGAAAGGCCAACATCCAGGGGAAGCCCGTGGTGACGGCGACGCAGATGCTCGAATCGATGATCAAATCGCCCCGCCCCACGCGGGCGGAGGCGACCGACGTGGCGAACGCGGTGCTCGACGGGACCGATTGCGTCATGCTCAGCGGGGAGACGGCGGCGGGGGCGTACCCGGAGGCGGCGGTGCGGACGATGGCGCGGATCTGCGTCGAGGCGGAGAGGTCGATCGTGTACGGGGACGCGTTCAAGAGGGTGATGAAGGCGGCGCCCCTGCCGCTGAGCCCGCTGGAGAGCCTGGCGGCGTCGGCGGTCAGGACGGCGAAGAACGTCAACGCGAGCCTGATCGTGGTGCTGACCCGCGGCGGGAGCACGGCGAGGCTGCTGGCAAAGTACCGGCCGCACGTGCCGATTCTGTCCGTGGTGGTGCCGGAGATTGGGATCGATTCGTTTGATCAGGAGTGGAGCATCAGCGACGAGGCGCCGGCGAGGCACGGGCTGATCAGCTGGGGGGTGGTGCCGGTTCTGAGCTCGTCGCCGGTGGCGGAGTCGGATCAGGAGTCGGCGGAGGTGTCGGTGGAGAGAGGGCTGGAGGTGGCGAAGGAGAGAGGGATTTGTAGGGCCGGGGATTCGGTGGTGGCGTTGCACAGAGTTGGGATGGCGACGGTGATCAAGATTGTTCAGGTTCAGTAGAGTGTGGTGGAGTAGATTTAGCGCTACGTTTGTTTTTTTTTCCCCTTCTAAAATTGCTTTGGATTTTTTTGTGTGACGGAGTTGGATTTGCTTTTTTCGGCTGGATGTGGTTTTTGTAACAACATTTTCGTACAATGAAGTTTTAGGGAGTAGTTTTATATTCATTTTTTTTTTTGGTTTTGCTCATTCTTGTTATCATGATTCAAAAAGGCACGTTAACCTTACTAGACAGTAGACAAATGCATCTAAGCGCAAGACAATGATAAAACGCCTCGTCTAGGGGTTCACGCCTAATTAGATAATAGAACAAGTCAATGAAGTAAAGCGACGCATAAGTCTCTCCTAAACATAACTAGATGTCAATATTAAAGGAGAAAATTAACGTCAACTACAAAATCAATTTCAATATTAATATTTTCAATAGCTCAAGAACATTGTGAGCTATTGAGCTATGACTCTATGAATTCGTGAGCTATGTTCTTGTCATTAAGTGTTGAGTAGGTTATTAATCATTTTAACTTAAGTGAGGAAGCATTGTAGATTATTATTCCATTCATCATGCAATGCAAATAGCTATTTCCTTCCAACACCTAGACAAGCTTATTCTACACCTAGGCGAGCTATTCGCTAGGCAAAGGCTCAACGCCCGTCTTACGCCTAGCGCCTTTTTGAACCTTGGTTGTTGTGAGAAACATGGTTGGATAAGTAGAACCGATAAACTTGTTCGGTTCATTTGATTGGAAGGTTAGGGATTTCGAACGAATTTTACCAGTTTGACTAGAAATCAGATCAATCACCCTAGTTTAATTGGTCCACTGGTTTACTATTTTAACCTTTGATTATATAGATAACAAGCTTCAAAGTCAAATCGACAATATCGGTTGATACCCCGGTTAGATACTAACAACATTGGGAAAATGAGAAACTTCTTGAGGGTTTTGGTGATGGATTTGGTCATGGAAATATATCCATCATGGACTTGAACCGAAATCCATCGTTTGCCTTACAGCCTGTTTGGATACAATTCCGGAAGAAATGGAAATGGAAATGGAAATGGAATTCAATTTTTTATTTTTATAGAATTCCATTTCCAATTCTAGTGTTTGGTATAATTCCTACAACTATGGAAATGAATTGCACTTTTAACCATAATGAATAATGTAATATGTTTGTTTTATTTTGGGAAATGAAATATGAATGAGAGAGAAAGAGAGTAAAATGATAGTGGGTCAACAAAATAATAAAAAGTATTGATGGGTCCCACTAATTCCATCTTCATTCTCTCAATTCCTATCACTTTTGATAGGAATTGTAATTCCCATATTTTAGACCCATTGGAATTCAATTCTCAACCTTTTTATTATTCCAAACATAATATATGGAAATGGAATTGGAAATGGAATTCCAATTCCTTACTTTTTTGTCAATCCAAACAGGCTGTTAGGGAATTAGGGAGATGGAATTTGTGGGGCCCACCACTTTTGGGGTTCCAAATCCGTGGACCCCACGGACTTGGAAGTTCCACCTCTTGAGGTGGGATTTGGGTGATGGATTAAAATCCATGATGGTAAATTACCTTTCTACCCTTAATTATTTCTTTGATTACAAATTTGTCCTACTTTAATTCAATGGTCATGCAACTGTAAACTTTTATAATTTCGTATTTTATAAATATGAGAATTTATCATTTCATTTTGTAATATCGTATTTTATTTAAATATGAATGTATATGTGATTTGTTAGATTCACCTAGAAACACTTTATGCTCATCTTATACATTATTATTTGATTGATTGTCGGATTCCACATCGGTGAGTTAGCAAGAAGATGATGAGTTGTAGCAATAAAGCGAGCAATTGGCTGCAATTGATACATAATATTGCGTACATTATTAGATGAATTGTTTTTTTTATGAAGGATTATTAGATGAATTTTTAATTAGTGCCAAGATGAATTGTTAATTAGTGCCATATTGTAATACATTTCTATATTTGTAGTTGAATTATTAATCCACATAGTGGTAAAGATTTTAAAATTTCTTTCTATGTTTTGGATTAGTTTTAAATGAAAGATTTGGATTATAATATAGAAATATAATTAAATAAGGGTAACTAGGTAATTTGTATTTAATATCCACAAATCTAATCAAAGAAAGTCCATAATCAAATCCATCAATCAAACAATAGACTTGTTCAAATCCATAATGCCACCAAATCCATCATATATCCATGATTTTCCAAAACCCAGGTTTTACCAAAACCCTCATTTTTCAAATCCATGAAGCAAACGACCCATAAGTTCTAGCGACAGATGTACAAAAGTATCACAACTATCAACGAGTATTATCGTGTTTTTAATCTATCGATAGATTCAATTTTTCTTCTTCGTCAACTAACCTAATTTATCAACCTTTTAATTTAATGTATCTCTCACCATTTTAATGTCCCAATGATAATAAAAGATGGTTTGTACTAATATCGATAACATATCCTCTTATAAATGCAACAATCATGCATGCAAATCATAGAAATTCCTCGTTTTTTATTCATACTAGAAAATACTATTCATTATCGCTAAATTTTTACTCAAATTTAGAGGTATTCGAACACTTCTAAAAAGTCATTGGTTCTGCCCCTGCATCAACCCACTCCAGAATATAAAATTGTTCGATTTTATCAATGTTACATGTAACAGGAGATTTTCTTTTTTTCAATAATTATGAAGTGAAATCAAGATGAAAACTTATTTAAGTAGCATTGTGATTTTAACTTGCTAAAGCACCCCTTTAAAAAAAAAAAATGCCGCGAGGGGCTCTCGCCTCTCTCCTCTGCCTTTGCCGACTGCTCGGCAGTCTGCTCTTCGCAACCTTGGATGGATTCCTGCGCACGAGCATTCTAAATCAAGCTCAGGGTTGGTACAGGAAGGGAGCATCAGCGGATCAGGCAATAAATCCATGTTTCTATCACTACAAAAAAGACTCTTATTAGTGACCAAGGCTTTACATTAGTAAAAGCTATATATCGTCGCAAATGGTCTTTTGCAACGCCAAGAGGGCATCGCGTTCCGTTCCAAATAGTAGCGTCACAAAAAAAAAATTGTGTGACGAGCCGTCGTAAAAGCGTTTTCTGACGACTACCAGTCATCTCTAATGCATTTTCAATTTGACAAAATTGACAGATTTTTTGTTCGACGGCAAAGAATCATCGCGATAATTAATAATTTCATCTCTAACATCTTTTGAAATTGACGAAACTGACAACAATTTATTTTTTTCCGACGAAACATAGTCGTCACTAAAATTAATATGGTCATCGGTAATGTATTTTTCCATTGATGAACTGACGAGATTTTCCTTTTTATTATGATACTTGGTCGTCATTAAAAGTAATAGGGTCATCGCTAGTACATTTTCACATCGACGAAGATGACGACAATGTTATTTTTGACGAAACATGCTCGTCTCTATCATTAATTAGGTCATCGATAATACATTTTTAAATTGACTAAGCTAACGATATTGACATTTTTTTAATGAAACATGGTCGTCTGTAAATCTTTCGCCAATATATTTGTGATACCAATCTATCATTAATTAGGTCATCGGTAATACATTTTTAAATTGACTACTAACGATATTGACATTTTTTTTAATGAAACATGGTCGTCTGTAAATCTTTCGCCAATAGATTTGTGATACCAATGTCGTCCATTCACCTACCCACTGCAACCTGCCCTCATCGTCACTGGCAAATCAAGAAGGAATTTAGTTAGACGCTACAAAATATAGGTATAACAGCAAACAACATATTCACCGCATACAATCAAAAAATTAAAGATCTATGAAAGATAAGACGAACCTTAAGATTGAATGGATTGAAACCACCTATCGCTCTCGTTAAACAAGGAAAAAATCTGGAAAAAAGGTGGTGTTAGAGGTGAAGAGGAGGGATTACACAGATTATAGGAAAAAAAGGTTGTTACGACTCAGGAGAATAGAAGAGAAGAGGATGTGTTCATCTATAATGGAAATAGAACAAGGAGAAACCATAGAGAGGCCTGATGATGGAGAGCGGAAGAAGAGAAGGAAGATTAGAGGCTGTTCGGCTGGGAAATAGGATATCGATAGCCGATTAGGGTTTGCGTTAGTTAAGAAATGGATGGATGGATGGCTGAGATTTAAGTAACAGGCGATTGAGATTTATGTAGAAGGATCCTAATGGAGTCGGTCATCAATCTTGGCCAAGTTTAAAAAATAAAGGAAAAAGATAAACATCTCCTCGGTGTTCCTAGGTGATTAAAGTAATTACTAATTAATCAAATTGTAGTAAGTTTTCCTTTCAGAAATGTAGGTAATATATTATGACTAAAAAACGTGGATAATATATATTCTTAAAATATAATTAATTATTGTGAGAAAAAAATGATAATTCCTTTTCTCTGTATTGTTTCTAAATTTTTTTAAGTGTTGTTTCTTTAGATAAATGTAATAGATTATAGGATAAAATTAATGACCCTATATCTTAAGAAACTAAATCAAACCACATTCATAAATCACTATCTCTATATTAATATTAGAAGTTTTGAAGTTTTGTAACTCCATTTTCTTGTCTTCAATAGTGATGATGATTTTTTGCGAATAATATTTTTTTTTGTGATGAAACATTACGGACGACCAAATTATATTAATCACAATTACTATGGTGACAATTTTTTCCTCCAAAGATTAGACTTAGTGACAAAGATCTAATTTATACAAACAAGATATAGGCTTCGTCGCAATACATAAATTTTTGACGAAGCATTCTTAACGAGAGTGTAATGTCGTCCCTAAAGTATTCTGTTGCGACGAATTTGACCTACCGTCGGTAAATTTTTTCACTAATGACTGTCTTTGTCGACGACATATAGGCTTTATCACAAAATCAATGTTTTGACGGAACATTACTGACGACCAGATTTTATTCGTAAGAGATAACCATGGCGCCAATTTTTCCCTCTAAACAGTATAGTTAGTGACAAAGATTCTTGTCTTTATCGACGATGTCTATGGTTTATCGCAAATACATAACTGCTTGACGAAACATTAT